CTAAATCTCGCTACCTACCATTTCCCCACTGAAGGCCCATGGACCCAGATCTTTGGGGGTATTGGGCAACAACATCTCTGAGTGCTTCCTGCTGACAAAAGGACACGCGGCATGGACTTTTGGGTCCACACCCTTCCTACTCTGTTGGGAGGGGTTGTCCGCTTAGGGACCCACAGTGGACGCGTTGTGGGGTGATGCCGGAACTGGTGACTGTGCGGTTGGCCCACTTGGCTGTGTCATTGGTAAGCTGATGACCTCTGGAAGAAACAAAACATGTGACCAGCTTATGTAAGGCAGGGGCAGAGCTGTGAGATAGCAGTGCCCTTGGAAGTGTGGGTCACACTGGACGATTGGGAAAAGCAACATGATATCTTTTCCTAAGGACTGGTCTCTGCTGACAACATGTCCAAAGTATGTGCGATGAAGTCTCACCGTCCTTCAACCACATTTGCTGGTTGTTTGTTCCTCTGGCGGTCCGCAACACTTTCCGTATTCGGTGCCAACGTCGTGATTTTAATGCATCAAGACTTCTTCCGTATTCTTCACTCGGCTGTTCAACTTTCCCCGGCCGCTGACAAGCCCTGGACTTGTGTCAAGAGCTTCTTAGTTCTCAGCCTACGCCGTCGGAGGAAACAGTCCATTAAAAACGACCTCTGGCTTCTGAAATGTCAAATTAGGAGATGTACCGAAATGTTAGATCTTTAATCCTGTTGGAGAGAAAGCGGATGCTTTCTACTCCTGTAAAGAATTGCAGTTTAAAACAACAAACAAATAAAGAAGAATTGCAGCTTCGACAGTAAATAAAAAAACTTTAAAGCATTGCCATTTTGGGAACCCACAGGGCAGTTCTCCCCTGTCCAAATGGGTCCCTGTGAGTCAGTGGCAGTGCATTATCCTGACGACAGGGCGAACATTCTTGAAGGACAGTGTAAGACAATCGGACTTAACCCTCCAGTGATTCCTGCCTCCTGATTTTCATGCCCTTGTGTAGTCTTCTCCCACACTGAATTAGGACTGGCATTAATCAGGGCTGGCATTAATGGAACACAGAAGTGATAATGCGGTTCTTCTAAGACTAGCGCATAAAAGACTTTGAAACAGGGTAGAGGGAGAGTGGGTTGGAAAGAGGGAACCGATTACAAGGATCTATATGTGACCTCCCCCCTGGGTGACAGACAACAGAAAAGTGGGTGAAGGGAGACATCAGACAGGGCAAGTGTATTAGTCTAAGTACTTTAGAGAAACAAATCCACAGCAACCCATGTATAAGAGAGTTTTATGTAAAGAAAGTGTGCATCACAAAA